TGTCGGGTGGGAGGGGAGGGGGGTGGCGTGCGGCGCCGTCGGGCGGGGTGGGGGGGAAGTGTGCTGGCAGGTCTCGCCGCCCAGAGCACGGCCTTTGGGTTGGGAGGGGCTGGGCCCCTGCACTGCAATTCGGGACACGAGCGACCTGAGTCCGGCCGTTTGCGGAGACCCGCGTGCCGCTCCAGGGCCACGGCCGGGTCGTTTAGCCTGACTCTCTCTGCAAGAGCCAAACGGGGGAAATGGCTGGCCCCAGCCGCCCACACTGCATGCAGTAGTCCGGAGATCCTGGCAGAGCCCAGCAGCAAGCATAGGGCCAGCCACCCAGCATGGGCGCTGCCTACAGAGAGCCCCTACCTCCCTTGGCGAAGGTCCCAGCCTGGCTCTGCCGCTCTCCCAGGGAAGAAGCCGTTTGGGCAAACGGGCGCATGGCCTGCAGTGCCCCCCTGTGGCCGGGGGCTGGAGAGAAGGGAGCACCCGGGGGCTGGTTCAAGGGGCTGTGTCTGTCTGCGGCTGAGCCGGAGAGCTGCCGCATGTGCTGGCCCATCTGGCCCTTCTCCCGATCCGGGACCAAGCCTTGGTTTTCTCTTGGCGTGACCTGAGCTGCTGCCTGTCCTGTCCCCAGCTGCAAGGGCTGCAGAGCCAGCTGGAGTTCCTCGAGCAGTCCATGGTGGACAAGTCTTTGGTCAGCCGGCAGGAAGCCAAGATCCGGGAGCTGGAGACACGGCTAGAGTTCGAGAGGACCCAAGTCAAACGCCTGGAGGTAGGGAGCTCCGGATGGTCCTGGCCCTGCAGGTCGCGATGTTGGGGGAGGAGGGGAGCCGGACCTCCTCTGAGCACGGCGGGGAGCAGGGCAGCCCCATCAGCGCAGCGGGCTCCCCAACGAGCGGGTCTGCCAGTGGCTCCCGGCCTGGCCTGTACGCTGGCTGCGAGCTCCCTGGGCATCGGGTGAACTGAGCCCAGCCCTCGTTTCCAGCGCAGCCACAGCTGGGAGCGAGCTCCCGTGGAGGAGTGTCCATCGAGGGAAGTTGGCAGCTGCTGCTCCAGTCACTCTGTAGGGCTGGCTGGGAGGGGAGCCCCCCGCAGCCTCTCAGCCAGTCTGTGCCAGCAGGTTCAGCTGCGGCTGCAGCCACTGGGCACCGTCAGGCAGCCAGCGGGGCACAGTCCTCACCCCTGGCACGTGCCGTCCGTGCGAAGCCTGGACCAAAAGGTCCTCCTGTCCCAGAGCAGGTGCTGCGGGTTTGGGCAGGGTTGATGGTGCCACTGGGGGAGGCTGAGGGCTCCTGATGCAGCATTAACACCGCCCCGGAGTGGCCTGTGCAGAGCTCTGGACTGGGGGCGCTGTCTAGGCAGCTCTCTCCGGGCCTTCCGCTGCCCACAGCCTGTTCCCTGCGTCAGCACCCTGCTGGGCCCTGTCCCCCGACCCCCCCGGCTCCACGCCTGCCTGGGCTGGTTATCGGCGGGCGCTGATAACAATAATTCGCCGTCCAGCCGGCGTGCGGCAAAGTGCTGCTCTTCGCCTGCATTGACTTAGTGAAATTATAGACTCTGTCGCTCCCTCCCAGCGCAGCCTGCTTGATATTCCGTGTTCGCAGGCCCTTTCTGCGCTGCGCTCAGCTCTCCCTCGCCGTATTTTCCTGCCGTTATTCCCCTTCCCCTCTCTCTGCCGGGGCCATAAATATGCAGCGGATGGCTCAGCTGCTGGGAAGGATCGAGTCTATTTTTTCTCAGCGTTACAGGCTGTAATTACTTCACACAAAGTTAAATCTATTTTTCCAATTCGCCAAAGCCCCACGATTGTTCTGCCCCCTCCCTCGCCCGGGGGAAGCGGCTCCTCCGTTCTCCCCCCGCCCCAGCCCCCTCATGTAAATGCATGGCGCTGGGTTCGTTTGTTCCATTAGCGCTCAGTGGGAAGCGACGGGGCGGCGCTCGCTCCCGAGCCGGGCTGGGTAATTGCCGCTCTCCGCTGCGATTATTCTTGACGAGTGAATATTGATTCTGTCAGGGCTGCCGTCTCCCCGTCACCTGCTGCGGGGAGGGAAGGTGAGCGTGGGAGGGGGCCAGCGCGGGGACTCAGCAGCCCTCGGTTGAGCTCGCCCCTGCTCTGGGCAGGGCACCCGGGAGCTGCTGTGGCTTGGCAGGGCCTTGATGACTGGCTCACACCTAGGGTGGCTGTTGAGGTGCCCTGGTCCTAGAAGGTCCAAATGTCCCTGCTGATCTCGAGGGGAGCCAGGATTCCTGGGTTCTGTTCCCTGCCCTGCCTAGGGATTGGGGTAACTGTGACCCCTGGAGAGGGAGCGTCCCTTCCTGACTGTGCCCCGTTCCCCATGCCCCCAGAGCCTGGCCAGCCGCCTGAAGGAGAACATGGAGAAGCTGACGGAGGAGCGGGACCAGCGTGCAGCCGCTGAGAACCGGGAGAAGGAGCAGAACAAGCGGCTGCAGCGTCAGCTGCGGGACACCAAGGAGGAGATGGGCGAGCTGGCCAAGAAGGAAGCCGAGGCCAGCCGCAAGAAGCATGAGCTGGTGAGGAAGCCTGGCCAGAGGGCGAGGCAGGGGCAGCCAACCCACCCCCTCCCCGCTGACCTGTCAGTGCCCCTGACTGGCTACAGGGAGCGCTGCCCCCAGTGTGCCCCGGGATGGGAGCAGAGACCAGCCAGCCCACCCCACCCCGCTGAACTGTCAGCTGATGTGATAGTGCCCCTGACTGGCTATGGGGAGCGCTGCCCCCAGTGTGCCCAGGGATGGGAGCAGAGACCAGCCAGCCCGCCACCACCCTGCTGGACTGGCTACGGGGAGCGCCGCCCCAGTGTGCCCCGGGATGGGAGCAGAGACCAGCCAGGCCCCCCACCCCCCCGACTGGCTACTGGGAGCACTGCCCCCAGTGTGCCCCGAGATGGGAGCAGAGACCAGCCGGGACGCCCCCATCGGGGTCAGATGCGCAGCCTTAAGTATATGGGTCATGCCACTGATCCCCGAACATCACTATGAAACCAGGCTGATTAGCGTAGGTCCTACCCATAAACAAAGCCTGGCAGGGGAAACTGGGAGCTGGGCATCTTGAGAACAGCCCTTTAAAAATGGGAGATGGGCTAAACCCGCCCCTGGTGTAACATGCCCCGGGGGAGGAGGGCAAATCCACCCCTGGTGTAACTGCCCCGGGGGAGGAGAGGGAGCAAATCTGCCCCTGGTGTAACTGCCCTGGGGGCGCGCGGGGGGCATCCGCCGCTGGTGTAACTGCCTTGTGACATGCTGGGCACACCTCTGGTCCCTCCCTGCCGGTGGGTGGGACTGGTGCTGCACTCCAGCTGTGGCTGCCCTGACTTCTCTGGGGGGTGACAGCCCATCACTGGGGTGGCTGTTCCCTGCGGCATGTGGCTGCAGCCGATGCTCACGGGGTTCGCTTTCCCCAAGGAAATGGACCTGGAGAGCCTGGAGGCCGCCAACCAGAGCCTGCAGTCGGACCTGAAGCTGGCGTTCAAGCGGATCGGGGACCTGCAGGCTGCCATCGAGGACGAGATGGAGAGCGACGACAACGAGGACCTCATCAACAGGTGGGAGCCACGCGGTTCCCTGCCGGAGACCCCCTCCACCCGCCAGGGCCCAGAAAACTCCCACATCCTGCTCAGGCCTTCCTAACAGACCGGGCAGGGCTGCCCCATGGCGAGGCTGGTGGGTCCCCCATGGGCATGCTGCAGTCAGCCCCCCCCCTTCCTCCAAGCATGACCACCGATGCATCTCTGCACGGCGGGGTTTGAATGTGCCCGGGTAGCGGCTGGTCGGGTGCAGGGCTGCTCTGTGCCTGGGGGGGCTGGTTCTGTGCAGCAATTCAGGCAGGTCGGATCTTATCTTCCCCCTGCTCCAGTTCTCCCACTTCCCCTCACCAGAAAAACGGGAGAGCAGCTTCTGTTTCCCGGAGACTTGGAAATGATGGGACGAGCCGGCGCGCTCCTGTGTCCCTGGGGAGTAATTCCGGCCGGCCAGCCTTGGTCTCACATTGCCGCTTGCAAACCAAGCACTTGTTTATGGTGCTGGGTGCGTCCGCACCTGCCGAGTGTGGCTGGGAGGCGGGCTGGGCTAGTGGATAGAGCACTGGACTGGGACTCTGCCTCTGGCCTGCTGGGGAACTCTGGGCAAGTCATTTCACCTCTGTGCCTCGGTTTCCCTGTCTGTTAAATGGGCGTATTGACACTGACCTTGGGAAAGTGTGTGGAGAGCAGTGGATGGAAAATGCTCTTGAAGACCTAGGTGTTATTATGGGGCACGCCTGCAGGGGGAGCAGCTGAGTACTGCCTGCTGCCAGCCACCCCAGGAACCATCGTCAGAAAGCATCGTTAGCAACTCCAGTGCCCACCGCAGGTGGCCGGGGCGCCGGGCTGGGGCTGGGGCTGCACACTGAGACGCCGGACTCGCACTCAGCAGACCTGGGGTCTGGCCCTGGCGCACTGTAATCTGCAAGTGTGGGGAAGTGCGTTGGGCTCTCCCCACGGGAGACAGTGCCGCTGTCTGAGCTAGGGGCCGCCAACCCCTCCTCGTTACCCCCCTCCCCAGCTGTGCTCGTTGGTTTGCCTCGGTTCGTTTCTGTTGTGGTTTTGTTCCGTTTTGCCTCTTTAAGTTCATTTATTTTCTTTGTCCCCCTGCCCCCTCCTCCCCCCATTCTCAGTTTGCAGGACGTGGTGACAAAGTATCAGAAAAGAAAGAATAAACTGTGAGGATCTCAACTCTCCTCTCCAATTAAATAACCCCTTGTTCCTAACCCTGAGCATGCCTGGAAGGAGCCCGCCGCTGGGCCCTGCATGTCGCCCCCACAGCGCGCTCCATGCATGTGCATTAGCTCTAAACCTCTAACACCCCCCCGCCGGGCCGGAAGCCTCTCCATGCCACGAGGGACCAGTGCTGGAGCCGCATCACAGAGGCCCATAGCTGGAGGGGGCCTGTGTCACTGGGTGGGGGATGCCCCGAGCCCCTGCAGCTCCTGGTTGGCTGGTTCGGGATGGCACCGTTGCATGCTGGGATTGGCAGTCTCCAGGGGCTGCATTGTGAGCATTCAGCCCGCCAGGCTCACTTCAGCCATGCCTGGAGCAGCTGTTCGCGTCACACCAGGCTCTGCAGGTAACGTTGCCAGCGTAACTGACAGGCTGCGCCTCTCCCCCGGGAGTCCCGGCAGCATCTTCCGTAGCCGCTCCTGGAACGGAAAGGAAATCAATTATAAATCTGGATGTCCTGGGAATATGATGAGACAATAACTCATCCCTTCTCCTCACAAGGCAACAGGCAAAGCTGTGCACACCTAGGACAAGTGCCCCCTGCCCCCAGAATGACCACTCCCCCAGGCTCCCTGTCCCTGAAGCCCTGTCAGATAAGCAGTGTGTTCGGCCTGGGAACAGACAGATAGCAAAGAAGGCCCCCAATTGTTTGCCGTCTCAGTGGCTCCTGATCTCTCCAAAGCCAGAACAGCGCCCCCAGTCGGGGATCAGGCCCCAGTGCAGCAGCTGGCAGGCAGTGGGGATTTGTGGGGCGTGGCTATTGCTCGTTTGGTTTCAGATGCCATGCTGGGTCAGAGCAGCTGGGCTGGTCTCCTGCCTTTGGCATTGGCTGATAATTGATGCTTCAGAGGAAAGTATAAAGCCCCATGATGCACCTGGCCAGTGGAGCAATTGCGTGTGGATGAGAGTGAGTCATTCCCTTGCCCAGCCACGATGCCCTGAAGCCCGAGGTTTAGTGATCACAAATGGTGCCGCTGGGAATGTCTGGTTTGTCTGGGGCATCTTCGCTGTCCCTCGATCCCTCACAGGCTCCGCCAGGTTGTAGGGAGAGGAGAGGAGTGTGGAAGCATGTGGAGGGAGTGCCATTAGGTGCTGCCCTGCCCCAACGGCTCTGTGCTCTGCCGGGCTAGGTGTGCCTTGCAGAGCCTTCCTTTATTTCACAGGCCCTGGGTTTGAAGACGAGGGGTCAGGCGCCGTCCCCTGGAACCTGAGGCTTGGGTGTCTCTGGACTGGCTTTGCCAGTGAGGTCTCTTTCCTGAGCCAGGAGGGGCTGTTGGTTGTGAAAGGATCTATAACAGCTAATGATAAATGTAATCGTGTGTAACAGTGATAGAGGGCCACTGGAGCCTTGTTGTCACACACAATTAATATCCTCCGCAGCTCAGTCTCCGTTTGTTTGTTCCCTTGTGATTTGGATCCCAGTTAACTAATGGCACACTAGTCTGGACATAAATTGTGTTTGACATCAAGTTTAATTCCGACGATTTAAAATCTCAGCTGCCCCCAGAGTTTGTTTATGAGGCTTATTGTTTTTAAGGAAAATAACCAAGCGTTGCCTGCGTTAGATTGCAGAGGAGGGAGACGTTTGTATGATCAAGTGCAGTCCATTGCTTTGAATTTAACAAGGAGAATTCATAGTCGGGGTCTATAATAGCCCGTCCCCTGTGCGATTCCGCCCCATGCTCCCCGGGCAGAGAAGAGCCCTAAGGCTAGGCAGATAAAATGCTCATTTAAGATCACATTATATATCTGTTCCCAGGCACACTTGCAATTCTAACAAAGTTACCTTGGGTTCCCGAGAGACTTCCTTCCCTTTTACCAGCCAGTTAGTGCTGGGGGAAGCCAGGGCAGAGTTATTGAGCCGAGTGAGATGGGAAGGAAAATAATGTTTCGATTTACTTATAGATACAGTTGTTATTGCTATAACCCTAATGAAAGCAGTAAACAGTTATGTATTAACAGAGATTTATACAGAACTGCTTCTAACATGGAGAGAGAGATTTTGCAGTGCATACAGCACCTTCTTTCTACAGGCAATCAATAGGGTTATGAACGGTGGTTATAAATTCGCTGTTTTAAGCCAGATCGGGCTTTCTTTATGTGTGTGTATAAATCAGGCAGCTCTGTCGTTACGGAGGGGCTCGCCTGCCACTGTAAATCTGCCCGCCACACTTGGGCACCCAGCCTGCCAGAGTCATTTCCGTTCTGTCTGCTAAACTCCTGTTTACCCAGAGACATCAACATAGCTCTTCCTTGCTGTAATTTTGCACTTGATGGAGGCCTATAAAATGAGCCCACTTATTTCCCTCCCAACCCTCTGCTCTTTGCAGATTTGAAATTTCATTCATTCCCAGAATTGCAGCCTGTTTCTTGCTTTTCTTTCTCCCCTTTGTTATTTATTCAGAGACATAATTCTGTACAGAAGGGCCTCTCCTGCTGATACGGATGAAAGGAAATTTATCCTCTGGGTTGGGGGGAAGCCCAGCAGATCCACAGTGAGGGACGTGTTGAACAATATTTTTCTAAATTTATACAACGCATCCCAGCCTGCATCCCAAGCCACTCTCAGTGTAATCGCTGGGGGAAGCTGTGTGCAGAGCCCAGCCCACTGGCTGGCCCCTGTTGTGCCCAGGACTAGTCTGCTGGGGTCACCGCTCCACCTTAAAAACACTGGGCTTGCCTGGTTGGTTGGCCCTAGCCACCCTGCTCCGTGAGCCACCAGCTAAGGTGTCCAAGGGTCATTCAGAGCCTCGTGTTGCAGCCATCCCAATGTGCTTTTGCAGTGACTGTGGGTGGTGCACGGGGCAGCTGCACCAGGAAATGAAGAATCGCACAACGTGCAGGGTTATTGGGTCCAGTTGAACAGAGGCCCGGTTTGGCTGCCCTTGGAGAAACTGTGTCCCTCAATCCCCTATTGCAGCCTGGGCATGTGTGTGTTCTCTGTCACATGCACGCCGTCCACAGCCCCCACTATTCCAGCCTGGGCTCCCCCTCCCCTGGCTTTGCCAGTGCCCCCCAATCCCAACCCACAGCCCCCCTGCTAGCCCAGCCCTGGCTCCTGCCTGCCCCCCTCCCACAGCTCTGCCGGTGCATCCCAGTGTTGACCTGCAGCAGCCCTTGCTGTTTCGCTCCCAGGTCTGTCTGGAGCAGAGATCAGTGCTCCAAATGGCAAGGTGATGTGCATGCCGCCAAGTATCTCCTCTGTAAACTTTGCCTTATGTACACACACACCCCCGCAGTCCCGGTCCAATGTCCTTCTGGGAAGAGTTTGGAAGCTGTGACGATGCGGTTCTGGCGGGACCCAACTGAGAGTGCCAATTCAGGACAAATTACTAAAACAGGGCAGTTACAACCCAAGGCTGGCAAACCAAACCAGCCAGACAAAGAGGACTTTGGCTTCACCCCACTGGCTAACCACAAGTCACACAAACAATTCCCTTAGACACTCCAGTTTCCCAGTATCACCACCAGTGCCACTCGTTATGGGGATGAATGGTTATGAAAACCAATACCCCAGTAAAAGAAAAAGGTTCTCCTGATCCCAAAGGACCAAGCCCCAGACCCAGGTCAATATACAAATCAGATCTTTCCCACAAATCACCCTGTTGCCAATCCTTTAGAATCTAAAATCTAAAGGTTTATTCGTAAAAGGAAAAAGATAGAGTTGAGAGTTAGAATCAGTTAAATGGAATCAATGACATACAGGAATGGCAAAGTTCTTGATTCAGGCTTGCAGCAGCGATGGAATAAACTGCAGGTTCAAATTAAGTCTCTGGAACATCCCCAGCTGGGATGGGTCCTCAGTCCTTTGTTCAGAGCTTCAGTTGTAGCAAAGTCCCTCCAGAGGTAAGAAGCAGGATTGAAGACAAGATGGAAATGAGGCATCAGCCTTATATAGTCTTTTCCAGGTGTAAGAACACCTCTTTGTCCTTACTGTGGAAAATTACAGCAAAATGGAGTCTGGAGTCACATGGGCCAGTCCCTGCATACTTTGCTGAGTCTCAAGGCATATTTGCCTTCTCTCAATGGGTCCATTGTATAGCT